TGCTCTGATATCTTTGAAATAATCTAGCAAAGAAAAATCGTATTCTGATTTATTTGAAATAAGCTGGCAAAGACAAATATTGTTCCGATTTATTCGAAATAAGTCAGTAAAGATAAATTTTATGCTGACTTATTTGAAATAAGCTAACAAAGACAAATTTTGTTCTGATTTATTTGGAATAAGTTAGCAAAAAAACACGTGTTTTAATTCATTTTAGATAGTCTAGCAAAGAAAAATTTTGTTCTGAATTATTCGAAATAAGTCAGCAAAGATAAATTTTATGCTGACTTATTTGAAATAAGCTAACAAAGAAAAAACGTGCTCTGATATCTCTGAAATAATCTAGCAAAGAAAAATTGTGTTCTGATTTCGAAACAAGCTAGCAAAGAAAAATATTGTTCTGATTTATCTGAAATAAGTTAACAAAGAAAAAACGTGCTCTGATATCTTTGAAATAATCTAGCAAAGAAAAATCGTATTCTGGTGTATTTGAAATAGGCTAACAAAGAGAAACCGTATTCTGATTTATTCAAAATAGGCTATCATGGACAATATTAAAAGAAAACATGTGACATCAAGAAATAATTACAAATATATTGACTACATATAGATTTTTCATTTTAAAAACAAGCAAAGCATTGACGAAAATCCTTACTCTATCTTACTTCTTTTATTCATGAACGGCAACAGATATTCATTGTTGAAAATATGCTCTTAACATAAAGGTATTCTGTTTTCTTTCAGAGCTAGAACGTAAGGATTTATACATGTAGTTTTTGTATTAAATGTAACATTGATAAAACAATTACTGATAAAAAAGTGAAGAAGAAATATATAAGTACATCGAAACTAAGAGTTAGTTTTAAAACTATCTCTTAGATGAAGATATGGCCGAACTGTTATGTAAATAATATTGTTTAATATCATTCACTCATTTCATTATACAATGTCTGTTGCTTTGATTATATTTATTCTAACTGTTATATTACAAACACATATCATGAGAGAATATTAAATAAATTACGTAGTAAACTATCAGTGCATTATAATAATCAGATATACTAATCTTATTTCGAAAATATATATTGTATTGATCTTTCATGTAGAAGTACCAAGTACCTTTCTAAAAGTACAAGTATAGTACTTGTACTAGTCCTTGCTCTGCCGTTATTTAATTGATATTAAATGAAACAGAAAAATCTACTTGATCAATATTAATCATTTTTTATGAGTGATTAATCTGTGATTACTAAAAATTCATTATCACAATATTTTGTACATTTTCATAAAAGATTTGTCATAAATCGAGTATATAATTTGTTAAAGTATATATTTCACTTAAATAGAAGAACAATTGTTTAAAATTTGATCCAAAAATAAAATTTTGATTCTTATACCTGCTTGTATCATTATATGTTATTTAATATGATGTTTCTGTCATACTTTTTTTTATCAGTTCTGTTGCACATGTTTTTTTGAACTGTCTCATTATCAGACAATAAATGATCCACCTACTTCACAGTAAAATAAAATGGTACACTTTAATTTATTTGATTAGTAAAAAGAACATATACATAATTCACTTTTTATGTCTAATATATTGTAATAACATGTTAATACAGAGCGAGAAAAAAAAGAATATTACCAATTTATATCGATTATATTGTTTTCCTTTAGAATATGAATATGTTTGCAAAATAATCAAGGAAAAATCAATTCGTGAGAAAAAAATTTCACTTTAATAAATTTATACGAACTATTTTAATTATGTATTAATATATATATATATATATATATATTGTTGTATTTCAGATAAAAAAAATAAGAATTCGACATGTCTTCGAATGATTCCGATCAAGAATCATATGATGATAACGACGACGATATGGATGGATTACAATTAATGTTGAAACACGCATCACCAAAACTACCACCAAATACCCGTGATCGTCGTATTTTTGAAAAAGCAAAGTCTATTTTAAAAGATTCCTGTGGTGTTATTGCTACAGCAAATTTTTCGAAAATTGAATTTGAAGCTGTAGAACTTCTTGTAGACGATTATTTTCTCGTCCATGTAGAAGATTTATTTCAAGATGTTGATGATATTGATCCTAATGGTTATATCAAATTAGTACCTGATGAGGCGGATATGATGTTTCAAGGTCGTCTTGCTAAATATGATATAACATGGGAGAGATACTTAAAAAATATTACAATTCCTGATATATGGAAAAATCGATTATCGACGAAAGGTATTGAATATTTAAGCACGATGATCTTTTACCGACGACTTCTAAATATACCATTACATCAATCATTGAATTATGTGCAAACTATTGATCATGTTCATGTTAAATCAGGAAAACAACTTTTATCAAATACAAACAAATCATTCTTGCACGACGAATCATTAAATCGTATGTTTTAAAAAACTTCATAATAAGAAAATTATCTCTTGGATATGTAATTCTATGATGTTTTCTATATTTTAGTAAATGAACAAACTGTTTTTGGAAATATTTTTACATCGACTCCTAAGAGAATTAATGACTGTGCGAGTAAGTCTAGTAGATGTATTATTATTTAATCGGGGAAATGCTTTTTTTGTTTAATTATCGTATTTTTCTAGGCAACTCAACACAAGATCACATTAAAGCTACTGATATATCAAATCCCATCAACAATAGTACGAGAAACAATGTTACATATAATATAGATGATACAAGTAAAATATAATTTCTTCGATTTAATTGTCTTTCATTTACTTTTACAGAACCATATATGGATTGGAATAAATTGCGTGAAAATTTTGTTGGTTTGAGTAACATGGATGGTGCTTCGTGTTATATCAATGCAACTCTTCAATGTTTAGCTAGTACACCTCCATTAGTTGATTGGATGATGAAACAAAAATATCATTTAACTACGTGTAAGTAAATGACATCTTGCACTAGTTATATCAGCATGGAAAAAAACTAGGAAGCAGCCACGTTTACCCAGGTGTACATAGCCAAGTGACTATATGCACCCTCGTATATGTTATCAATTAATTTAATAATAATAAATAATTTACTAAGTATTTATTATATTTCGAAAAAAAATATATATAAATCGAACATCGTGATTATATGATCATATTACAATTATATTGTTCTTTTTTTTATTATCATGTTCCGGCAAAAATTATTATGATTACATTTTTTTGTTTTATGTTCATCTGTTTTTTTCTATTGACTAATTGTAAAACAAAAATACTAATTTTTCATAATTAATTGGATTACGAATTTGAATATTGACATCCATAAAATATAATTAGTATATAGTTGACAAGAATACTTTTCATTACAAATACGTTAATTAATTTATCTTTTATGTTTCGTATGTTGTTACTTATTAACACTTACAGAACAAATGAACACAGTTAATGTAATCTAATCTCAATTACGGTGCATGTGCACACCACTTTGATTGTATTCATTTTTGATCTAATTCGAAATGGTGAATAAATAGCTCATTGCCACTCTTCAATCAGAAAAATAGAACATAAGAACTATTTTTTCAACAAACGATTCTATAGTTAGGATTTATATATTTTTTTGTAATATGACAAATAGTTGTTAAATTAAAATTAAAATTGCTGTTAGATTAGTTATTAGATTAGTTAATAACATATAAGAGGACTATAAGTTAGTTTTCATTTAATAGTTCTTAAAACTGAATCACATGTAATCAATATAAAATTTTTTTTTTATTTTATATTTCGAAAATTTATATCAATGAATTTTTGTAGGTCAATTATCGAATATGGAGAAGTTTTGCTCCATTTGTCAATTAACAAATATAATAGAAACTATTTATTCATCTTCAAAAGAAAATGTTATCAATGAAGATGCAATTGTTGTTACATCAGCTGAATGCATTAAAACAAATTTGAATAAACTATCACCAAGTTTTATTTTGGGGGAGCAAGAAGATGCTCATTTATTTATTATAAGCTTATTAGATCACTTTGGTGATTGTTTTTTTTCTCACATGGCAATTTTATCTAAAGTTGAACCAACGATGACAATCATTGATCAAATATTTCGTATCACACTTTTAAATACCATTGAATGTTCATCATGTTCAAACATTAGTACAAGTGAAGAATTTGTTTCTACATTATGTATCGAAATTAATAATATGAATTATTTAAATGATGCAATTGCACATTTTATTAAACCAGAAATTTTAACAAATGATAATGCATATCGTTGTGCTAACTGCTCAAGTCTTGTTAATGCTGCTAAACGTATAACATTTGATGATTTACCACCAATACTAATTATTAATTTGAAAAGAAGTACTGGATTCGGTTCTTCAACAAGAAAACATACACAAATGGTAAATTATGATGATTTACTAAATATGTATCCATATATAACTGATAAAGTACTTGATTCAAACAAAGAAAATCAAAATAATACGGAATCAAATAATTATATTTATCAATTATATGCAATTATTAATCACATTAGTGATAACAATAAAAATGGACATTATCATGCATATATTCGAACATCAAAAAATAATTGGTTTCTTGTTAATGATACACATTATCGACAAGTATCAACAGAAGAAGTATTCAACAACAAAGATGCTTCTATGTTTTTTTATGGTAAAGCATCTCATGGACGCATAAATAATAATCGTACATTTAAACGTCAACCATTACAATGCTCTTCAGTAGATAACTATGTCGTTTCTACTGCTAATGTCGAAATACCACCACCAGGATTTACTCAAAGTAGTATTACTATTAGTAATAAATCACTTACTGGTACATCTGATTCACAAAGAGGTTAGCAAAATCAGCTTATTAAGTGAATTATTTTTATATATGTTATCACAGTTCTATATGATAATTCATAATTTAATTCAGTATTGTTGAATAATTTTTTTTTTCGTATAGATATTAGTCGTATTGTAACTTCAGTAGCAGCAGGTGTACCATTACAAGAAATTTTTGAATGTAAATTACCTGATATATACCAATTCAAATTAACATCAACAGAACTTATTGAGATGTTTAATTGTCGACAAATAATACACAAGAAAGAATATGATAATAAAATGAAAAAATTAGGATTAGCACCTGAACCATCACTTTTATCATCAGAATATAAAAATTTGAGCAAATTAAAATCCATTTCCAATAACAAAAGCAGCAATATTTATTCCATTAACATGAACGAATATGATACACCATCAGGAAGAACAGTCAACATCGAATATTTTAACATATTATGGCCTCATTTGAAACATTATAATCCATATTGTGGGTTATGTGTGGTTACACGTTATTTTGGTCATGATTATAGTCAATCAACTAGTCTTCTTCTTAGATGTGTTCTTCAATGTAGTGGTCGTGATTGTAAATTTGGATGTAAAGTATTTGTTAGGAATGGTGGTGAATGTTATCTAATCACAAGCAACAGCACAGTTTATCATCATATAGGTGATCCAATTTGCCGTCCTGTTCGTGGTTCACAACGTGAAAAAATAATGGAAAAATTTAAAGCTGGCGGTTCTGTTTTTCGAGTACATGCTGAATATGCTGAAAAAAGGACAACACTTGAAAAACAAGGTTTTAATTATGATACTACTGGTAAATCAAAAAAAGTTTTCAAAAAAATAAAAGCTGAAGTAGTTGCACAATCATTACTTGCACCAGATGTTGCAACAGGTATTGATCGTTTACATGATCAACTAGTTTTTGATGTTAAAGGTACTACACTTCGTGGCGCACTTCAAATTGTTCAATCCCATCCATTTTGTTCAATTGTTTTTACAGAAGCATCTATTCGTTTATATGATGCTATTGTTGAACATAAAGATTCTGTATTGTCTTGGGACGCCACAGGTGGTGTTGTGAAGAATTTTACATCGAAACAAATTTTGTATTATGAACTGACTATTTCTCATCCTAATATTGTCAATGAAGATTCGTTAATACCATTAACATTTATGTTATCAGAATCTCAATCACTATTTACTATTACTCAATGGTTAGGAGCATTCAAAGAGAACCACAAAAAGGTAAATAATATACTTTATATTAATAACTTTTTTTTTCAATTTCTTGTTCACTGGTTTTTGATGATAGATACAATTAAAAGTTGTAGAATATGATAATATTTCAGATAGATAATGACTTATTAGAATGCTTCATAAGTGGGATAAAATATTGATTATAATACCAGTCTTCTTCTGCAATATATTTTTTTAGCGAATTTATCTGGCATAAAATTATCAAATATAGTTTTTATGATAGTAGATAAAATCATAAGAAAGCATTGTTTTTATCCATAAATACAACAATCAATTATATTTCTTTTATATTATTACTAGATATTTCCGCACAAAAAAGACCGCTTTCCAAAACCTGCAATTATCTTATCTGATCGTGCACAAATATTTTTACAAGCAGCCTTGCTTATATTCAATGAAGAAAACTATCGACAATTTCTTTCTAGAGCTTATCGTATTGTAACAAAACGAGCTCATCCAACGGATTTTTCCAAAACAAACATTCATGCTTGTTTATCACATTTCATGTTGGTAAGAATACATTTTTTTTAAATATAAATATATATATGTAGTTTTTACGAATGTCTTTATTGAATAGGACATGCGAAAACGAGTAAATAAACATTTACCCGATGAAATACGTGAATTTGCTATGTGGGCCATGGCCCTTATGGTAAATAGTAATACTTACAACGAAATAAAAGAAAACTGGCGTTTAATTTGTCAAGTTTTTCTTAATAATACAACGAACAGCAACGTACATTTCAAAAAATATTACACCATTCTTCTGTCTCGTATTTCGAAGATAACCATTGATTCAAATGCATCTAAAGCAATTAGCAATTCGAAAGATGGAATTAGTGATACCAATGATCCATTTGAATTCAACGACGAAGACGATTCATTTGATACTGATGAAGAAAATGAGTTACATTCAAATAAACGCCGTAAAACAAGTCGAAAAAAGAAAAAATGTAGTACTTCACATGTATGTTTATTCAACAGTATTTAATAATTTAATGATATATAATTTTCCACTCATTTATGTTTATATTGATCTTTTTCGTGTGAAGAATTTAAATAGAAACGACAACCGTAGAAGTATCGAAAATATAGATGATACAGATATAGATGAAACATATACCTTTCATGTGATTAAATTAATTATTGATTCAAAAGTTTTTATCATGAGCATAATCAAATATTGTTCATGGATATATTTTAATGAGAACAAAATTCTCATTTCAAACTCATTCTAAAAGTTTTTTTAATGAGCTAGGAGTTTCATTGAATTTCATGATTAATACCTGTTTAAGTAACAGATGATTGCTTAATAATTAAAGAGAACTACTATTGATATATATATATCAGATTTATATATTCTTTTGCTTTAATGTTTTTCTATATTTAAAGTTGAAATTTATTGAGATATTTTCAATTTAATTGTAGGTTATTGATGAAGAAAAGGAGCTAAACGAATTTGATAGTCCATTTAAAAATGATTTAAATACTATTTATTATGAATGTTGTGAAGAAAGTATTAAAATTAATGGTACACCATCATCAACAGATAAAATATCGAAAGGATCTCGTATGTGGTTATTGTTCATAAATCAACGATGTATGCCAACTGTTGCCATATGGTCGAATTTGTTACTTGGTATGTTAATTTGTATTTTAAATTACGAAAAATTGATAATTGAAATTTTTAAATAGGAAACCTATCACGTCATGGTCAATCTTCTGTTCATGCATTTGATACTTTACTTGTTTCTACACATGATCAGAGAACAAATGCTATATCGGAACGACGCATGGGAATTGTGAAAAGAACTCAGCTTGGTAGGAAATTTCATCTATTGTCATATAGAAAATTATACTATCAATTTTTTTTAAAGGAGTTGAAACTCGTACACGAGTTGATCTGGTTCTACAAATTCTTGTCTATGATATGATAAGATTGGTGGAAACTTTTTCAGTTTCATATATGGCAACATGTTCTCAAACTGATAATCTTCAAAATGATCGTCAATTAGTATTAAATGAAGTTCGAGAAAAATGGAGACAACCAAATCATCGTGGTCATGGATATTATTGCAAACCTCCAAATGAATTAATCAAAAACAATCTTAAAAATGCATTAATAATGTGTCCTTCTACAATTAATAGTGGTCTTGTAATACCTGTTCTTCCTGTTTCAAATTGGCTTAATGTTACCTTGGGAATTTTATTATCAATTAAAGTCTTTCGTGACACACTTCCTCAATCATCATTAACAATGCGATCAATATCAGTGGAAATTATTCACTTTATTAGTAACTGGATGTTATGTTTGAATCGTATTAAACCACCAAAGAAAACTAGTCCAGAACAGAAAGAATTATTAAATTTTAAATTTCACTTACCACTAAATGTTCCATCAGATATTGATCAACAAATAGCATATATTCTCGATAAAATTCTTATTGAATTACTTGGTCGTCCAATACCTGTAAAAATAATTTATACTTGTACATCTTGTCAATTCATTACTGAGACCAGAAGTGAAATTAATTATATTCTAATTAGCATGTTGAAGAATCAATTCCATCTTGATGATCAATTATCAAATTATTTTACTGGTAATATATCCGATTATAAATGTACCAAATGTCATTCATATATGCTTCGACATATAAAAATAATTGATTGTAAGAATTTTAAAAGTTTCAATCATTTATCAGATAACTTTTTAATTACTATCTATATCTTTAGGTCCGTCTGTAATTATTCTGAAGATAGATCATAACAAAGATTCATCTACAACATCATGCAAATCACCAGATGCAATTTGTTTTAGTCAATTTATGGACAAGTCTAGTATTGGCTGTGTATCATCAACTGTATTTGATGTAGTAGGATTTTTATCTGTTTGCTCAAGTGCTGATATGAAAGAAAAAAAATTAATGTCTGTAACAAAAATAAAACAACGTTGGTATGTTAATCCACTACAAAAGCTAATAGGAAATGGTATAAATTTCTCCAAGTCGTTTGCTACTAGTCGAATTATTATTCTGGAACGTGTTCGAACTTGTAGCTCTAATTTTTTATATGCAATTGCTCAATGTTGTTCATTTACTATGAATATAAAACATGATAGAATTGAACCATATAAAACTTTACGTGATGCAATTAAAATTATCGAAAATAATGAAGAATTTAGTGAACTTCGTCGTCGTCTACTTTCAACTTCTATTACATATTATATTTGCAACAAATGCAGTTCTTCATCAGATTCATTATCATTGTTATATGATTGTATTCATATTTACGAACAAAATTCAGACAATACTTGTGTTTATGGTATGCCTTTATTATATCAAGAATTGCTTGATTCTCATTGTTCGATCTGCAATGAAAAAACAAAACGTATAGTTTTACCTATTCACAATCAAATACATGTGCAATGTCCATCTATCTTAATGTGTTGTTTATCACATACAACATTCAATACTGTTATTAATTTTCATGTTGAATTAACTGATCATATTAGAAATAAACACGTATATAAGCCAGTATCTGCATTATTAGTTGATGAATATAATACTTTATCAGTTATTAAATTAAAGAACCGTTCTGTCTATTGTTCAAGTCCATATGAAACATCGAATTTAGTCTCAAATGATGAAATAAATGAACTGTTCTATACTGCTCGAACAGTAATCGTTTTTCTCGAACACGTAAATATAATATATGTGACAATTTATGTGATTTTTCTACACTTATTCATTTAGCAAACTGATACTGATATGGACAATGCCATCAACAGCAATATCAATGAACATCGTCTACCTACAGTTTCACCACCACATCAGGTTACAAGTTTCCTTGTATACGTAACATTTTGTGTAACTTTCTATGATTGTTCGTTTAGGAAATTAATAACATGAACAATGTAATCAACACTACTTCTAATGTACTTCATACACCTGCACTTTCATCAGCACATCAGGTTAGAAGTTTTAGTCCGGAGTAAAATATCGAAGAAGTTTTTAAATAGTTGAAAACAGATGGTCATTAAATTTGATAAAGTTTTATACTTTTACAATATTTCGCATATTGTTCTAACAATCTGTTTATTTGTAGCAAACGACATTCATGCCAAAATATTTTTATAAAGATCAAGAAGAATATTTTAAATATGTATATATTATGAGTATAAGTCTTTCTCACTCTCTCTCGCTTTTCAAAAGAAATTTATCCAGAAACTGCTTAGTTTGTTCAGAATGGTCCTGTTTAATTTTACTATAATTTCATTTTGATTGAAACAAGTCGAAACGGTTGAGACATTCCTTGTACCTATTAATTTATATCATGCTATTCTTTATTTTTCAGACGACAACAACTGCAACTTCTACTACTCCTGTTTTACTACAACAACCATTATCCGTTTCTATATTCGACAAAACAAGCAGTGTAAGTAAAAACTATTTTTTTAATTTTTTAAAATAAATCTGTTTATTCTTTCTTTTTTAAACAGAAAACAATACTTGGTACTGTGCGTTCATTGACTATTGTAAAAAAATAGTTTTTTTTTAATTTTTTGTACACATGTCATTTTTTATCTATGAATAAATTGAAATGAAGATATATTATTTTTAAATTATTATGGTTGTGAGGAAAATTACACGATTATATATCTACTATATACTCATAAGAGATTATAATGCTAGATCATATTTCTATCATGTATTTTAAGCGTATTGATACGATATGTTAAACACAGCGCCATCTCTTCATTTGTTCTCCATCGCAAAGGCTAAATACATTTTAATGAAATGGCGATTTATTGAATGTAGCGTCGAGTGAATGTATCTTATCTCGACCCTCTAATATGGTCTCTTCAAATTATTATTGGTGATTTTAGTCTGAATGGATATCGTTTTAACAAAATATATCTCAGATCTAAGTAATGAGATGAAGATACGTTATCAATTGATAGATAAGAGATAAAACACGAATAAAGACTGTCTATTGTTATTTTTTAATTATTTACATTTCTCATTTTTCTTCATAGATTTCAATTGTTAATTCTTCTTATTATTATTACAACGATCTTCCTTTTGAGTGATATTGCAACTTGTATACTAGTTATTATTATAATTGTCAGTTTATACAAAATTTACCAAGGTAAGATGATGATCTATTGAAACTAAAGATGCAAATGAAAGCTATTATTTTATCATGTAAATCAACATAGTAAATTTACGGAGAAGAATGAAAGAAATTTATCCTTTAAATAAGATTTAGTTTAACAAAAAATATAATATTCGATGAAATATTTAGAATGGACAACAACTGATATGTTTGATGCACATATTCATATTTTATATCCTGTAAGTTTGGAATTGAATGTAATGGCTGAAGATGATCTGTACATAGCTAACGAATATCCAAGAGAAGAAAGAATAAAAGCATTAGTTCAATTATTACATTCATATGGATTTCATGTGAATGTTCATCATATTTCCTTGTCAAATTCGAAAGAAATCCTTAAATCTATTGATCGTTATCAATCAATTGTTTTTAATCTCTGTGATGGAAATGAACTTGATGGTTATCCTGGTGCTTCAATAATTGAAGAGATGGATAGATTACAATTAAAATATACTGGTGTCAGAAGTGAATTCTACAAAATATCAGAAGACAAATCCTTAATGAAACATCAACTTATGAAAGATGGCATACCAACAATGCCATTCATGATAATTAATAACGACACATCAGTTCAAGACATTGATGCTCATTTTCAATCATATCCGATTATTGTTAAACCTATTACATCATATGCAAGTATGGATATTACTCATCAATCAATCTGCTTTAATGCCGAAGAAACATTAGCACAGAGTAGACGAATAAGTCCACGTGCACTCAATGGAATATTTGCTGAAGGATATCTCGCCGGTCGTGAATTTACTGTTCTTATAGCTGGGGATTCTCTTTATGGAATTAAAGTATATCCAGCAGTAGAGAGAATATTTAATGTTAAACTTAGTACATATGAACGTTTTGTTACCTTCGATCAAGATCGGTTTCGCATTGGAAATAATTCGAAAGAAAAAACTACTATTGATCCAATATATCAGTATAGATTAGTCTCCAATGATGAAAATGATATATTAAAGAAAGTAGCAGAGGATGCATATAACTCGTTAGGTGGGAATGGTTATGCTAGGTAAATTTTAAAATATAATTGAAGAAATAAAACACGAATGTAATTTCTCTATTTATATTTGTAGAGTGGATATACGTACCAGTGATTTAGATCGATTTGATCCAACAGTATTAGAAGTAAACGCTCAATGTAGTCTTAGTTTTGATATTGATGAAATGTGTTCTTCCATGGGTCATATATTTCGTTTGGCAAACTTGGACATTGAACAATTTACTTTATCACTTATCGAATATGCACAAAATCGTCATTATTGATTTTATCATAATGTCAAAGAATCTAAATGATTAAATATCTTTGTATACATAATTCATATTAATTACTATTATATTGTAAATCTTTATGTAAAAATTACACTCTCTTTTTATTATTGATCATCTTATAAATAGAATTAAATACGTTATATTAGTTCACTAGAAGTATCGACTTGGATAAACTTTTGTAGTCGTAATAGTTGAACAATAATCATATGTCTCTTCATTGATAAGTATATAGAAATTATTAAATTTGCATTGATTTTCAATAAGAATGAAACTATTGAGTGTCTCAAAAGTAAGGAAAAATAATGTTTTTCTCTATTTCTATCTTAAAGATTGTCGATTAGCTCTGATATTTCTATGAGACATATTAAGTAAGTTACTAAGTTTATAAAGATATTGAATATATTCCAATGGTAGAACATGCATTGATTCTTAAGACACAAATTGATGGATTTAATTCAATTTAATTTTTTCTGGTTGATTAGTTTTTTTATATGCGCACTCATTAGATTTAATAAATCCATCGAAAGAAGTTGTTAGAATATATTTATCATTTTGATAATAATCTGGAAGATTAAATAGAATTTTCTTTACTAAATTCAATGTTTCTTCAGTTGCGATTCGAGCACATGCATTAAATAATAATCAAATCTATTTTTCATCTGGATTTGAAATTTTAAAGTAAGCTTCAATTGCTTTTTGTGTCATATTATTTTTAATATTTAATACTGTTACCTTTCATCATTACTCTATAAATAGCAACTGTTTTCTTTTTTAATTTATTAAAAACGTTTTCAGCATGATTAATATCTCCTAATTCCACTACAAAAAAATTCAATTTCAATTTTAATTCAATGTTAATTACTATAAAAATGAATAAGCAATGATAATGAATATTTGTAGAAGATCTTAATACTTGACTTACAGTTGCACTTGGAATCATTTCATTAATTAAATTATAATATGATCTAATAAGAGAGATTTTTGTTTAAATATTTGTATAAAGTAATCGTAAATGTCGATGCGAAAATATTCTTATCATTTTAAAGATTTTTCTTCAATTGAAAAAAACTAGTTTTTAAATGATATAACAAAAAATAATTTATCTATTTCTTAAAATATCAAACAAATTCTAAACTAAATGATTTTTATGTTTCTAAAGATATCATCTAAGGACATAGATGAATGGAAATACTTTCTTCGCAACTTCAACCAACAAATTATTCGGCTGATTATTCTTATGATAGTAGATCTTCTAGTATTAGAGAATAAGTTAAGTATATCATATTTTCATCATTAATCATTTTGAGGATGTAAGTGAGGAATAAGCGTATAGACATTGATTATGAGAATCTTCTCACTCTCTCATAACGATGCATTTCAATTCAACAGAACATAGTTTATTATGATTCATCGAAGCAATTTAGTATACGTTAGTGAAAGAAGCAGTTAGTCATATTACAGGAAAAGAAAAACAATGATTCATGATATTTCATCACAAAAATGTAATAAAACATTAGTCAGCATTAGTCGACAATTTTTTATTTCATCATTTTAATAGATGACTATTCTGCTTTATGTTTCATTTATATGACAGAAAATTGCTTTCTGGTGCCAGTAGTACATTCTTTGATCAATCGTGAACATACTCTAATTTGCATTGTCGTACGCACTTAATAATGAGTGCATCTATATCATCAATAGATCTTAATAATTTATCACCAATTCAAGTTTTCATTAGAATTAAACCAAATAATCCAAACGATGAAAATGAAACAATTCCATTTAAATATTCAAAGAATAATACAACTCTAACTCTACCTAATTCACCTTCAATGTCATTTGATAATATATTTCCACCTGAATCAACTCAAAATGATCTATTCGATTCAATAAGTTCGCTTCTTCATTTTCCATTATATGGTTATAATTCAACAATATTTGCATATGGTCAAACAAATAGTGGCAAAACATATACTATGTTAGGTCCTAATGGGAAATTATCTCTTAATATTGATTTAATGGGAATTATACCAAGAACAAGTCGATATCTATTTGCTGCTATACATAAACTTACATCATCATCATCATCTTCATCCATACAATATCAAGTTCGTGTAAGTTATTTCGAAGTATATAATGCTCGTGTTTATGATTTACTAAACAAAAAATCACATTCTTTGAACATTCGTGAAGACAATCAGGGTAATATAAATGTTGCAAATGCAGTTGAAATACCTGTAGATAATAGTCTAGAATTAGAGAATGTATTAATGCAAGGTAATGAAAAACGTAGAACTGCATTTACATCTATGAATTCATCATCATCAAGAAGTCATGCGCTATTAATTTTATGGATTGAGAGAAGAGAACGATCAACATCAACATCCAGAGAATATAAATCTTATTTAGGTCGTTTAAATTTAATTGATTTAGCTGGTAGTGAAGATATTTCACGTTCAAAAGTTGAGGGTGATAGATTTCGTGAGGCAGTTAATATTAATACTGAATTATTACAATTAAGAAGAGTATTAGATGCATTATCATCATCACCATCTTATATTCCATACAGAGATTCAACATTAACTCGTTTACTTCAATCATCATTATCAACAAGACAATCTATTACAATATTAATTTCTCATATTAGTTCATTAAATATTGATCTCTATGAAAGTGTTAATACTTTAAAATATTCAGAAATAGCTAAATGTGTCCAACGTACATCAATTCCAACACAAAACCTTAGTAAATATATCGATACGAGTGACGTTATGTTCGGTGATTATAATGATCCAATAGAATATTTTTATCGTCGTACAGTTTATATTCATACACGTTCTTATGGAAAAATCTTTGCTCGATTAGCAGGACATCGATATGATGAACAACAGAAATGTATCTTACTTATACATGGGTCTGGACCTACAAATTCTTCAATGTTTTGGAATGATCTTGTGAGAAAATTATTATTAGCAACATCATCATCATCGTCTTCGCTATCTCCTTATTATTTTGTAGCCATCGATTGTCCTGGTTATGGTCGTTCAGATGGTGATAAACAAATAATTCGTTCTTATCCTGATGTTTTTATTGAAGAAATAATTGATTGTATTTCACCAATAACACATCAAGTATATTGTCTCATTGGTTCTTCTCAAGGAGCAGCTGCTGTATTCAATGCATTGGTCGAAAAACCTGCCATGTCATCATTTTTAGCTGTACAAAATCCTGTTTCACACGATCCTCAACGTTTTGTTTGTATAAAACAACCTGCCTTATTAATGTATGATATAGATGATGATGGTCATCCTGTTAGTGTTGGCAGATTAGTACGAAAATATATTCCAAATAATCATTATTATGAATATTCAAGTTCACAACAATCGGACTGGTTGGAACATAATGCACATTTAAAATTGTTACAATTATTCAATGAATATGACGTAAACAATCAATTAACAACATCTTCGGAGATTTCTCTTCCTTCTCTTCCTGCTTGTTTATCTGTAGCAGGCGGGATAATTTCATATTTATCATCATATAATCGTGAGCCACTTTATAAAAATTCAAAAGAAGAATTAGAATCAATTTTATTAACATATGAAAAGCAAAGTGTTGAAAATAACGATTTGTTCATTGAAAGAATTGAACCTGAATCGAGCGAAGATGATGAAAGTAAAGCACAAAGATTAGCTATAGAATTAACTCAAACACAATGTGATTTATGTAATCAACATATTAGTAGCAATGATATATCTAAATCACTTCGATTATCCGATTGTCGTCATTTATTATGTTATTTATGTTGTTGTGAGACAATAAAAATAAATTCATACGAATGTCCTGTTGTTGATTGTGCTACGAAACTTAATATTTCTTCATCACAACTATCATTATATTCTTTCCCTTTCTCATCGGATACTGAAAAGCATATAATAATACAATTTGGAAATTCTTCTAAATCAATATCATCGTCATCTAGTCAACGTTATGAATACATTGCATATATTAAATGTAAAACGAAAAATCTGATTGATAATGTTTCATTTGATATTAATCCTGAGTATCCAAAAAGTGCTATACGTGTTTGTCAACCTCCATATGAATTAGTTCGAATCATGAATTTAGAATTCACTTGTCATTTTATTATTCAATGGAATAAAATATTAAACTGGCCTAAATTACGTATAACATATCATGTTCAAAACAAGCAAGCCAATTTTATAAGAAATCTATTAGTAAGAATACCAAATCAAGGCAATACAATGGCTAAATCACATAAAACACATGAACTTGTGTATAATTGGACTGATAGAGACAGAACAAAACCAAATCTAAATTATATATTATTGTCGTACGATTAATTTCACTCGAATAGAGTTAATTCTTTATTTATTCAATAGCTTCAGTTGGGTATGATGTGTGGGTGTGGGTGTTTTACTCTTCTTATATCCACATTCATATAATTCTCACTCACACCCATAGAAATTTTAATTAGGATGAGAAAGAACTCGTTCAATATAGAATAAGCTCAATTTTAAGACGATTAAATTAACTTGTATATTCAAAACAAAAACAAAAAGAAGTGATCATTTATTCTTCATAGATTTAAATTGAGACAAGACTTGTTCTACACAAAAATAGATTCATCTGCTAGTTATAATGTTATTCTAACGCATCTCTATCGCTATATAGTTATTCCTTTATATATATTTGGTAATTTCGGTTAATTATTTAGTGCTATGATATTTTTCGAAAAATCGTGGCGAAAGAATGTTTGTGTTTTCTATTTTCTTGAATTTAATTTATTTAAATTCATCTATGCTTGGTGTTATATTTATGTATGGTTTGAATATAAATATAATTAATTCTAATGTTGTATTGTGTAAATTGTTTAATTATATCACATTCTTTTTTTCGACTTTTCCAACATCAATGCTCGTTGTTGCCACTATTGATCGTCTTTTACTTTCTTCTCAAAATATTTTTTCTTC